GTGAAGACTTGGTTAGGTTTAGGATTAGGGTAAGGGTTAGGGTTAGGCATGTGTTGGTTATGGTTAAGGTTAGGATAAGTCTCCAGGAAATGCATGTAAGTCAATGTAATGTCCCCTGAAGTGATGAATACATGTGTGTGTGTGTGTGTGTGTGTGTGTGTGTGTGTGTGTGTGTGTGTGTGTGTGTGTGTGTGTGTGTGTGTGTGTGTGTGTGTGTGTGAGAGAGAGGTTGTTACTCACTGGTACTGCCTCAGTTTGTTCTCCGCTGTGTCCCAGAGTCTCAGTTGATCCTCACAGATTACACTTCCCATACTCTGCCAGTAGGCTTCGTCCTCTGAAGAATCCCGCGCCGCTTCATAAACACTGTGATGCTGACGGGCCGAGCTCTCCCTAGGACCGCACAGGAACACTTCACATATTCACTGAGGAAGACTGATGTAGCTCACCATCTCATGTTTATATCTGACAGAAAGTCCTATTACTGGTTCAACCCTTGTTCCTCTCTAGGAACAAGTTTGGCTTTTTTATGATGTGGTGAAACACCTTCACCTGTCTTACTGTAACCATGACTGTGTGACCTCGTATTGAGTTACTTTGGCAAACAAGTGGCATTTTGTGAACATTCATTTAAATGGGTAACATGTTGAAATATTGAGGTAATTTAAAACTATAATATTGCAAAAGAAATTCTAGCAGTTTTAGGAAAATCTATTTGTTCGTATTATTAATATTTGTTTTAAATGTTATATACTTTTTTTATGCATCAAAAATAATGTTCCTTATCATTGACATATCTCAAACTTCATACTCAAAATTCCCCATAGATTTGATATGCAGAAATTAGTTACATTTGTGTGGGAACAACAGTGCCATTATACAAACGAATCGGCATTTAAAAAGGGTAATAATGGACTTCCGGTAGTGAAGATGTCGGAGAAACTCGCACGGAAGAGGTCTCCCGGTTGAACTTTAATTTTAACTTTAATATATCTCTGTAAACACCACAATTCATTCGGGAAAGTGACGGATTACAGTTAAAACTTCAATTCAGTCGTGAAATGAGTGGTTCTAAATCTAAAGCGAGCAATACGCCGAACTGCCCAGTTACTCGTGGCGGTGCGACCCCTGTAGCTAGCAAAGTTGCTAAAATGGCGGCTGCAAGCTCCGGCGCTAGTGACACACCGGACATCTTTTCAATGAACCAGCTGGTTTCTGAACTGGAGAAGCAACGGGCCTCGCTCCGGAAAGACATGTCTGAGTTAATCCAGGAGTCTGTCAAACCTTTGCAGAGCTCGGTGGACGCGCTCCGCGAGACGGTGAATCAATTTAATAACCGCCTCGTTGCTGCAGAGACCCTGGCGGGGGATAACTTTGAGCGCATAACAAGCACGGAAAAAACAGTGGAAACACTACTGACCCAGAATAAGTCTCTTCTAGATCGCCTCGACGACATGGAGAACCAGTCCCGTAGAGTCAACCTCCGGATAATAAATATTCCCGAGGGCAGTGAAAAAGGCCGGGACCCGATCGAGTTCATATCCGACCTTCTGATGGGAAGCCTCGGCCCCGATGTCCTCTCCAAACCCCCGGAGCTTCCGAGAGAGCACATCGCTCCACTACCCGGTAGCTCGCCAGACCTGGACCGGGAGGTAAGACCCAAGGCCTTTTGTGATAATGCTTTCATCGTTTTCAAAGAGAGGGAGAAGACAGGTGCTTCTTGGATCCAGACAACACGAGCTTAAGTACCCGCGACACACATCGCTGGTGAGTTGTACCGCCCAGACGTCAGCGCTATCACTGCCAAAGAAACGAGCTGCTTTCAACTAAATCTAAGCAAGCGCTCTAACAGAAAGGAGTGAAATCTCAGGCTTCCTCTTCCCCGCTCGCCTTGCAAGTCTCGTTTGAGGATGGAACGTTCATCTTTTAGACTCCGAGGAAGCGCACGCATTCTACAAGAGCGGGTGATGAGCAAGAGTAGGGGCAGTATGGTGTTCCTGGCGGCCACCCACTACTGCAGGGTCTTCTCCAAAGACTGTATTCCTCCGTCTGTTTGGAGGAAGCCGTCTGCTCCTGCTATGGCATGCTGCTCCGTGGACTCACTGTATGCGGTTAACCTTGAACGAGCGTCGTGGTGACCATGGAAACGGGTCGGGCCGCGTGAGTTGTGCTTACTCTCAGATATGTTCCGGAGCCGAGTGGCATAGACTCCATGCGTATTTTTCTTTGTTACGATGGGGATCCGTGTTTACTTTCCAAATTGCAAGGTGTGGTCGCCGCAGTGATTTTAACTCACATTTCTTTCCTGTTTGATTACCACCCCGCACATGGTAAACGGTCTATGTTTTCTTTCCAATGAGACAGTTAGGCTATCGCCTAGTATCAGGCCTGTTATTCATTATCTACTATTATTCCTCTTTTCTGTTTTGCTTTTATCTCTGTGCCATAAATGCTTCCTGCAGTAGAGTTTCTTAGTGGGAAATCGTTTTTTATGTTTTTTTTTTTCACCTTGAGGTAAATGTTTAGGCAAACTTATTGAACGGCATCTGTTTACAGGTGAGGCGATGAATGCTTGATCTGCACTGTAATCTATATCTTCTTTAAATGTGGGGATATGATTCATATCATTTTTTTTTTCAATATTGTCGTTTACTGGGTTGACTCTGAGTAAACGAGTAGGTTTTGGAAACAGAAAGGGATACCTTGTTGGGAGTGCAAAACGATGTGGTCGCGCTTCGGTTCATGTATCAGGGAATGGGCGGGGCTGGAGGGTTTGTTGATTATTGGTTTTACTCTATCTTTTTATTTTTTTGTACATGTGTCGTTTTTCTTGTTACGTGTTTTGTGTTTGCTTCTCTCCCCCTCTTCTTCCTTTGGCTCAGGAACTCCACGTCAGCCAGGGAAGAGTTAGTGCTCTCCTCGTCTCCTTATGATATGACGATCGGGTAAGATATTCGCTTTACTCCGTCCTGGAACCTGAAGGGTGCCACCAGCCCATCAAAGTACATAAGGCTAACGTGAACTCATTTAACAGCAACTTCGGGGGTGATATTTTCTTTTTACAAGAAAACCCACCTTTGTTCTCAGAAGGTTGCCTTCTCAAGCGATCAGCCTCTGGATAAGGGATCTATCTTCACTCTAAATTCCGTTAGGCCCAAGGCGCTGCGGCTATCCTTATACACACAGAAGTGTTCCATTTGTTTACTCAAACTCCATTGAGCGAACCCCAAATGCGCGATTTGCTGAATTATCTTTCTGGTAGATCCACTCGTGTAGTATGCCAGTGGTTATGCGCCTGTGGTTATGCACCGAACATGGGAATGAAACGATATACATTTTATTCCAAACATTTTATTTCCTCACTCCCTACAGTATGATGCCACATGACTTAACTTAATCGGCAGGCAATTCTTCAATTTGAACGTCAAAACCCCCTCCCTAGAACAGGTCCTCCTCCTAAGGCCTCTGCCATTATCCACAAGTCACGACCTAAAGTCCTTTGACACATCACTAAGATCCTAGCTTTAGGTTTATTCGACATGAGACGAGCCCAAATCCGCATTCAGTCGAAGCGCTTTTCATATCTTTTTCACACGTCATCCATATCGCACTCTCGGTAGATTTTTTTCTCTTGGCATAATAATTCTACTCTTCGATCAGAGGTCCCGCTCATGTGAATACCATAGCATTGTTATCGTCAGACCATGCCCCCGTATCTGATGATTTAGCTTTCCTATCCCTGTCCCCTCATCCCAACAATGGAGATGAACTCCCATACTAGCCCACACTTCCTTTACAGAATTCTCCATAGCCGCAGACCTCTCTTGTACTCTTTTGATCACTCAACTGATTCTGCCCAGAGTCTCTAGAAGCACGCAACGCGCGTCTTTAATGCGTGGCCAAATCTCTCTCAGTGTCTCAAACTAATAGACCCTCCAAGAAAAACGCGAATTCCTGCGATCGCAGAATTTACCCGCATAATAAGCAAATGGCGCAGATTTTTAAAAAGGGCCGCATCATTTATCAAAAGGCGCATAATCCATTTTTCCACACAAAATTGAGAAAAACAAAAAGGTTAACTCGTCCCTTGACGTGACGTCATCAGCCTCGCCGCATCACAGATTGTAACAGACACTTGTATCTCAGAGTGAGACGTGGTGGAGCTCACACGATACGAGAAACAGCCAAGAGGCCAAAAAATTAATCCATCTCATTTACCCGACGNTCTAGGTAGCTAACTTGATCCAGCCACTCCTGGTCCTTTCATCAGACGGGACGTGAAAGAACGAGCAAGACCCATTGCTGGTATGATAACAACCTGGTACTAAGCACACAGGCATCTTGTTAAAGTTATCTTATCTTAGCTATCTCATATTTAGTGGAGGAAAAATTGTGACATCAGTTATGACATGACTCACGCGACTCTGGGATTTGTAGTCTTTCTAGTTGCGTATTTGTCATAGTCTTATATTTCAACAGTTTTACGACAAACTGTGACTTTTTTGAGATGGAAATTATTTTTTAAGATTGACAAATATCATATGTGTAATTCGTGGCACAATTCAAACGGGATTGAAAGATACGTTTTCTCTCTCCATTGTCTTCGATGCATAATTTTTCAGAAATAAGGTCCCATGGAGTAGATGGGCGTGACTTCGCCACTCTATACACAAACTATACAAAAAACGCCTTTACGCTTTGGAGCTTGTTCATCCATCTGTAAGCAACTGCCAGCTAGGTCTCTCAGTCACTCACTCCTGATCGTTCACTGCGCAGTGGCAGCTGCTACGGGCCTGATGTGTGAAAGTGAAACTATCTGATAGATAGAATATAGGTAGCCTATCAAAACTGCCCAGCCCAGTGGGATGTGATACCCCTCCAGGGAGTAGCCGGAACACTTACAAATGTGGGCCGGAAGGATTTAGGCAAAAAAAAAAAAAAGATTATTATTTTCTTTTTTTTTTAAATGTTTTGCGCCTCCGGCCCACGCACAGCACCGGCCCACCGGGAAAACTCCCGGTATTCCCAATGGCCAGTCCGCCCCTGCTGTAAAGTAGCTTCTAGCTTCATGTTGAACAGTAAGTCAACATTTTCCAGAGAGCTTTCTTTGAAATCACCAGATAACGCTAAAAAACATTACATTTAGATTGTATGACAAAGTGTTTATTTAATATCTCTGGCTAGCTATAGCTAGTTAACGGTTTAGCTTTCCACCGCGATTCAAAGTAACGTCAACGTAGCTGTAATTTATGCTTTGCTTACATGTTCGCATAACTTGGAAGTTTACTGACATTTACATACCTTGTTTACCTGTGGCTCTGGGGATGTTGTGTGAGCCACCACTTGAGGATTGTCGTCTTTTTTAAGAAAGAAATGTTCTTATGTCCATCTTC